AGCAGGACTTCTCAGAGCTTTTAATGTGGTAATATGCATAGTGAACATCCAAGTTACAGAATTTCCTGTTTTTTTTTTAATTTTGATTTTTTTTTTTTTTTTTTTTTTTTTAATATAGAGTGTCTCAAAGAATTAGATTTCCAAAGAACATACTACACACTTTGGGGGAAGTTTGGTGGACTAGATGATTGCTCAGACCCCTGTCAGATTTAAGAGTAATAGTTGTAGAGACGGAAGCCTAGTGAACAATTGTCTAACATCCATTTTCTAACCCCTTGCTCCTCGAAAGTGTGGTCTGTGGAACAGGGTGTTAGAAATACAGACACTCAGGCCCCAACCTAGACCTAATGGAAAGGAAGAAACATTTTTAATAAAATCTGCTGGTGATTCATATGCACATAAAGTTTGGGAAGCCCTGGTCTAAAGAAAGCCAGCCTTGTCACTGGGCGGTTGATGATTTTCTGCAGAGATCTGTAGGCTGGTATGTCTTTTCTGAGCATGTCCAGGTCAAGAGACATAGATACAGAGGTGTCTGTTGCTTAGGCAGTTGGTCATCACTTATCTTTAGTGAGGTTTCTCAGAGGGCAAAGGAAGACGTCTCTAAAGCTTAAATCAGGATCCCATTACAGTAGTGCTAGAAGCTCTTGGAAGCATTGCTGAGCTTTGCTCTGTACTTGTGCCGATTTCAAATCTTATTAAGCCAGGAAGTAGTGCCTGGCAAATGGTTTATCCTGCCTTGGCTATTCATGCTTCCCAATTCATTTTTATTGTACTAATTAAACCTCAAGTGATATTTCAAGTACAGATTGTTTTTTCCATTATTGAGTCTTTGGCCAGCATATTAATGCTGTAGAATTAACGTGAGTCAGATGCTTACTCATTTGTGGAAGACTTTACATTTAAAAGATCTAGTCTTGGCCAATTTTGCACAGATTCCTTTGGAAACTGCTATGACAGGGTGATACAATTTCTCTATAAATAAAAGAGACTCATTCTTCCTCACAAATAGACATGTAATTATTTTTTTATTGAACCAAATTCCTGGATCATAGATCTGTACTGGTATTTATGGTCTGTGCCAAAATGGATATAGTGCAGTCTGGGGAGGTAGTATAGTGTCATTGTGAAGACACTGCTTTGGGTTCAAATCCCAGGACTATAGGTACTTGAGCAACTTTAGAGGATGTATTTGATTTTTCCAAATTTTATGATCTTTATTAATTCAATGAGGGAAAATACTTAACTTTAAGATTGGTTGTAAGGATTAAATAAAACAATAATTTAAAATATTAGACAAGAATATCTGGTTCAGTGAATGACCCCCAAATGTTGTTATTGTTACTGAAATTAAGCATTTTTAGACTTGTTAGTCATAGAAATCTAGGCTTGAAGAAAAAAAAAAACTACATTAGATTTTTAGAGGAAATTAGATTATGGCATAAAATTCTCTACTGAGAATTTCTTTATTTTAACCTTTTCTGCTCAAAATTTCCAAACTATGAGATACATTTATAAAAGGTAGGAAATTCATCTGATAGGTTTATACTTGAGCTACCGAAAGGAGTGGCTCCAAGCTCCATTGGTGGAGTCTGGCTGTGGAGGAGGTTGTACCTTAAGAATAAGCACTGTGTCAGGCTCCATGGTCCTCCAGAATCAGCAGATAAATCTATAAGTACAAAGAAGATGACAGAGGAGTCAACAAAGCACACAAATTGCAAGCTGGAAAGGACATAGATGAGTAGTAACTGCCTTAAAGGATGAGAATACTGGTTACCACGTCGGCAATGGGGAAAGGCTGGGGGAAACTTGGTTTATATTGCAGAACTGCTGCAAGGCTCAGGAAGTGAGAGTACAGGTAATGCCAAATACAGGAGATTGGTTGAAAGTCTATTAAGCAGTTTATCTTATTTTGTTCCATAAATCCCAGATCATATTACTCTCCTTCATCAGCAGGCTTATTCTCTAAAGAGGATAAAACAAAGGTCATGAAGAACTCCAGATAGAGTTGAGGCTGTGAGAACCATAAGAAAATGATGGATTTACATATGGAATATTGCTATTTCTAGTCTTCTTCCTCTCCCAAGCAGGACACTGAAAGAACAATGTCTGAATAATTTGACCAGTCCCTTCCCCAAAATGATTTAATAATACTGACATCAGGGAGTACCCAGTAAAGAGGCCAATAATATTGTGCTACAGTGAAGCCAACAGTTAATAAATACACAATGCTTCTAATGCCTAATTCTTATGGATGTATAAATGGCCAAGGGTCACCAACTGTTTGAGAAAAACTTATAATATGAAAGACAAAAACAAAACAATCTAAGGGAGAAAGAAAAAAGCTACAAGAAAGAAAGTTGATTTGGAGAAAAGAAAAATTTAAAAAGAAATTATCATTAATGTCTCATAATGGTCAGAAGAGGGATTGCACCCATGAAAGAAAAACAGGGTACTATAAAAAGAGAAGACCATTCAGGAACAAAACGTAAGCCTTGAAAACTAACAACATGATAGAGAAATGAAAACTTCAAAAGTGAGTTTGAAAGGTAAATCTGAGCAAATCTCCCTGTAATAGAACAACAAAAAAAAGGAAACTAGGAAAGAAAAGGGTAAAACATTTGTTGGAATATCCAGAAGGTGCAATGTCCAAATAATAGGGTATCTAAGTGGTAAGAAAGCATCGCATCATAGTTGAGATGGCATTGTTTTTTTTTTTTTTCTTTCTTAGCGGTACATGCCACAGTGTTGTATCCTATAATTAATGCTGTCTTAAATTTGGTAGTATAACTATTACGTATGGTGGCTCAGCTGTTAGTGGGGTTTATATTTTTATAATGAACTTTATCTAGACAACCTAATTTCATAGCACATAGAATGATACGAAGACAGAGTATGTTGAGTGTGCTATGGGCATGTGGAAAGGGCTGGCCTTCTCTGTGAAAGTGAGCCTGGTTCTCACTTCCATAGCGAGAGGTCAGTAGATAATGTTAAAACAGAAAAATCAAGAAGTAGCAATATAAGCACAATATTTAGTGATGTAGAGATCAATTCCCAAAAAAGAAGTTAAAAGGGATGAAATGTGCGCCTCTGGGTAACAGGAAATAGTACCTTGTGGGTGAGGCGAGATTACTGTTTTCACATAGCAGTTTGAATATATTTTATAACAAGCTTTGTAGAATTACAGACTCTTCAAACTATCGACTACATATTTTGATTTTGAAAAACACATAGTTTAAAAAAGTCACCTAGATCATATCACTGACTTCAAGGAGGTTTTTCACTAAGTCCCTGTCTTATATCTTACCTTGACACACTTCTTAATAAATTGGGAAGCTTGATAGGCATAGAAGTTGTCACCAACTATTAGAACTAGAAGAAATTAGAGCTAGATCTTATATTTGAACAGCTTAATTTTGTAGAAATTAAAATTGGGAGAGGAAATAACGTCCCCAACTATGAGCCAGGTGTAGGATTTAAGGCTCCTGACTCCTGACCCAGTTCTCATTCCTGTTAACTGTGCTGCCTCTTGATCACTTATATATGCTTCATTGTCCTATATAACTCAGAGAATTAGGGGTCTTTTTGAAACCCAGTGAAAGATATACATTGCTCTCTATTGGGTGCTGGCAGGAAGGAAGAGTTCTGAAGAGATCACACAAGTCAATGGATGCTAGATCTTGTTGACTGGCAATTGTGGAAGAACAATGAGACATGCTCTGTATAAATCTTGTTTCAGTCTGGTTTTAGTAATAAAGAATAATGGCTTTGTTAGTAAGGACTGCATCATAAGGGAAGGGTTTATGCATAGTATTGTGAAGATGGTGGGTCAGATACCACTAGGTGGGTGGGTTAATTGCAATTTAATGGCTTTTGAAGATGAATTGCCTTTTCTGACCTCCGGGTTACTCCTGAGTTAATGATCTGTCATAGTTCCATGGGACACAGCTGTTGGGGTGAATGCAGTTGCAAGTAGAGTTTCTGATATCCAGCGAGGGACTAGCTTTACTGGCAGGACCTGACATTGTTACACGTTCTGAGACCTGCCTTCATGTGAAATACTATGATTCCTACGTGGTTACAAGCAGCATAAACACCCCATAGGTGTGATAGTTTAATGAAGTGATAGCGTCATCAATAAAGGAAAGCTAGCTTTCCAAATGTAAAACTATAAAAATGATACTCTCCTGAAGTATTGAAAAATGTTTATAAGGTTCAAAATTTCTTTGGATAATATTTTCTCAAGGTTTTTCCAACAAAGAACTTTCCATTGGAATAAGGATCCATATAACTTTTTTTTTTATCATATCATAAATAGGATGACCAATTTTGCCATAATATTTAACTGTGATTTATATAGTTTTGAAATATTGTAATACTGTGATGTTTCAAGCTTCATGTCTTTGAAAAATGCTTTGAAACTACATTTTCTTCTATAGTCTGATTCTGACTCTTTCAAAATCTAGGTCTGATTTTGAAACCTAGATTTCAAAATCATAGTCTGACTCTTTCAAAATCTAAGTCTGGTAGTGGATTATATTTATGAGTTACATAATGCAAAAAATAGATTTATGCAAAAAATGTAGATGCCTTTCACCCTCTTGTTCTTGACTATAAAAATGTGGAGGGGAGGAGATGGGAGAGATAAGATGGTCCACACAAATACAGTATCTATCTATGTGCAAAGAGCTGGAGTAGTAACTGTAGAACAGAAAAAGAAGTAGAAGACATAGTTCTACAAACTAGTGTTTTTTTAAATGAAAAAATAATATTTTCAAGAAATGTGTAAATTTTTTTTTCTAATCTTATTACTGCACATTTTTGGTTCACTTTAAGCCTGTAAAGCTTATCAACCTGGAACTTTTTCAGATCAACATAAATCAGTCTCAGGAAGTAAATAATTGTTAATTTTAAAGCATAAAGAGTTTTTAATTTATTGCTCTCATTATGATAATGCGTTTAACTATTCATACATATCTCTGTTTACTTTTCTTGTTCCACAGGTTTGCCATCAGCAAATTTGGCAGCACCTAACCTCACTGTGGAAGAAGGAAAGTCTATCACGTTATCTTGTAGTGTTGCGGGTGATCCAGTTCCAAATTTGTACTGGGATGTCGGTAATCTGGTTTCCAAACATATGGTAAGGCTTTTGTTTGGCTCTGTGTTCATATAGAGATGAGAGTGTCTGAGAACTTAAGATCGTATTAACCTACGATCATTTAATATTTTATAGGGCCACGAACGATGAATTTTTGTTGTACATTTACTTTCTGTTTACTCTTATCTAACAAAGACTAATGTAGGTTTGCATTTTAGTTATGTAAACCCAATACACTGGAGAGTTTCTATGTCTCTAGTGAGCATTTTCGTGTCATCATGAGCAAGGTGAGTGACTCTCCTTTTCTCTAGGAGGAAAGTAGGTAGGAGTTCAAGGATTAAATCAACTTCACATATTAAGCAATTGAAATCTAGAGAAATAGAATGACTTCTCATTTACTCCTTTGCCTGTCTGATTAGGCTGGAAACATTTTCTAATGTTATCAATTATTTTCTCTAGGTAGGGGAAGAAACTCCAAATCTTATCAGTTTGGACCAGTCCTAATAAAGATTATCTTTGTCTGTTAATTCATTTGTAGAGTGAAACAAGTCACACACAGGGCTCCTTAAGGATAACTAACATTTCATCTGATGACAGTGGAAAGCAAATCTCTTGTGTGGCAGAAAATCTTGTAGGAGAAGATCAAGATTCTGTGAACCTCACTGTGCATTGTACGTAATCAGATGGGCATGTGTTTTTAATAGCAAATAATCGTAGACACACCTATATTTGTTGTTGGGGCACTTCTGGGTGCTGCTTAAGTGTGTTAAAAAAAAAAAGTTTATGCAATGTTTTGTGCATCCTTAATTAAGAAATGTTATCAGCCTCTTTCACTTGTTCTATTTCTGCTAATCTCTTGCTCATGTGCTGTCTTTCCTTTAGGCTCTTTTTTTGATCTTAAGCTTGTCCTCTTGTGCCTTCCCCTGTCTTTTTTTTGATAGAACATATTTCGAGCTGTTTATCTTCCTCTTGTTAATGTTTTAGTTTAAATTCTTATAAACCAGTTTCTCAAAATTTTTTTCTGTTTAAAAGCAATATGAAGCTTAAAGTTGTGATACCTAAAGTATTAGGCTGGCTGTTCCCCAACACCTACTTGTACTGTTGATACAATAAAACCTCATTAGTTTGACATCAAGTTTCTGTGGGAAGGTTAGAGGAGTCCTACTTAAATTATTGAAAATTATTATCTTCTGCAAAAATCTCTTATTATTATATAAAACTTCTAAATTTCTGTATAGTATAAAGCTAAGATATGGGATATTAATGCTTTTTAAGTATATGTACATTATTTTTTAGTGTTATGAGTAACATGACACATATCTTAACATTCCAGATTGTGGTGTTCAGTGGGAACGTGTATCCAGTAAAAATCACATATACTCTTCACATCATTGCATATCCTGGGCTGGCATGGTATAAATTAATGAGGTTTTACTCTCTTTAGATTAGGATTTGGATGAGAAAAAACTTGGGTGTGCATGTGTGTATATACGAATACACACTACACACATGTAGACACAAGGTGATGATACACTGGTTAATCTTCACACATAGCACACACTTAGTATGTGATTGTTGGAGTGAACGACTGAAATCACTGTCAGTACCACCACTATGCCCAGTAGGTACCGAACTTATAATTTCTCATTATTTTGACCTACCCAGAAGCCTGAAGTCAGTGTTATCCCCAAACATATGCAACCAGCTTCCAGCTTTATGTCCTTAATCGGCATCTCTCCAAAAGCTCATTTGAGCATGGTGGAAGGAATAAGTGGGGCCTGGGCATGGGGACCTGGGCTGGTGGGAGGAAGGTAAGTGTGGTCCCTACCCCATTGTGGTCTTTGTGCTTAACAAATAGGGACACTCAAATTCCAAATTTTCTCGCTTTAGGTTAATATATATATGTGGTCACCATGGTCTGAAGAATTAACCTCATCTGTCAGAGTTTAGATAAAGAGTAGAAGGAATAAGTGATACAGCATGTTAACAACTAAGATAACATCAGCGGTGACCTCGCTCAGGGTGTATGGGTTAGCAGACTATGATTTATTTTTCCCCGTTGTGTGAGGAACATATATGACTAGGAAGCAATGAATGAGAGGGCAGGACTTCTGGATTAGGCATCCGGAAACCTGGATTCTTGTTTCAGATCTGCCTTGCTCAATAATCTTGACCAAGTCACTTAACCCTATTGGACTTGGGCTCTTCATCTGAAATGTGATGCTATTGGGTCTCAAAATGATGTTATTTGTGTAATTCTCAAAGTCAGACCACATTAAAATAAACAATTATGAGGGGTTTTAAATACTTTCATCTAGGATACTCTGTTTAAAGATGCTGCTCGATAATGTTTGTTTCCCCAAAGCATAAAGTGCTTTACATTTAATGTTAAAATAATCTCTAGTTTGTTTAGTTAGGACTTCAGACATTTAGAGGATCAAAACATTGACATCTGGAATCCTAGCCAAAATGGACTGTACTATAATGAAATGCGATGCTTTTAAAGAGCATTTACTATTGACAATCGATGAAAAATAGCAATTTATCATACTTTATAATAATCAATCAGCATCAGTAGCAACATTCATCGCATTGATCACTTTGATCTGTTTTAGATAACTTACACGAGACTGGGGGTTCAGACAAGATTTCCAAAGTCATTTTTGTCATTATTAGTATCATTTAGTGAAGTACTGTAAAAATAGTAGCCTTCAATGTTTTGGTGGTGAATGTACATTATATCAAGGCATATAAACCAAAGTCAACTTCAATTGAACCCTCTCCACTGTCAGAATCTCTGGGATCTGTTTGGAGCTGGTTCCCACATTGAATAGATGTGAAAAATGACTGCAATGCATGGGTCTTAAGCAAAGCGGGGAAAGGAGTCTCTCTGAAGCTCTCTGTAGGAAGTTAATTCAGCCTTGATGATGATACAAAATACTGATGATTCCAGGGTCGCTGGTCATGTGTTTTCTTAAACTGAACAGTGGTTGAATAAAATCCCCTGTTGATGACACAGAAATCTGGAGATGGGGAAAATTCCGAGCTTTCTGATGCTATTAACTCTCTCTTTTTCAATTTAGTTGCTCCAACTATCACATTTCTCGAATCTCCAACCTCAGACCACCACTGGTGCATTCCATTCACTGTGAAAGGCAACCCCAAACCTGCGCTTCAGTGGTTCTATAATGGGGCAATACTGAATGAGTCCAAATACATCTGTACTAAAATCCATGTTACCAACCACACGGAGTACCATGGCTGCCTCCAGCTGGACAATCCCACTCACATGAACAATGGGGACTACAAGTTAGTAGCCAAGAATGAGTATGGGAAGGATGAGAAACAGATTTCTGCTCACTTCATGGGCTGGCCTGGAATCGACGATGGTGAGTCCCTGATGCTTTTGACTCTGGAGAGGTCTATTACTCAACTATGGACAAAAATCATATGTACAATAAACCAGCCCCCAAATCAGTGGTTTGCAACATTAGTTAGTCTTGGGTCTATAGGTCAGCCAGGCAGTTATGTTCCATGCGGCTTTATTCTGGGGTTCCGGGTGAGGAAGCAGCAGCTACACAGGAGATCTGCTTTCTATGGTGACTGTAGAGTTGTAGAGTATAAGGGGACAACTAGAAATAAGGCCTAGGTTCAAGACTGGCACATGGTTTCTTCAGCCCATATGTCATCGGCCAAAGCAAGTCATGGGGCAGGAACTCACTCCTTTCAAGAAGGTGTGTGCGGGGCGAGGGGAGAGGGGAATGAATAATTTCGAACAATAATCTGATATACATGTATTATTTTTATCTCAAATGTTTAATGAGATTTTGTACACACAATGTCAAAACTCTTGCAAAACCATGAGCAGCTTGGTTGGCTGTGTTTAGTTGACTCCTGAGCTGTTAAAGAAGCATTTCCTAACCCTTTACCCATTTGGAATTCAGAATCATACCCCGTCATCCATGGATGAGAAACCAGTGTCTTAGCATGTTTTGCTGACCTGGACTGACTGAGTTGAGGTATCTTTTCTTTTTCTTTCTTTTCTTTCTTTCTTTTCTTTTCTTTCTTTCTTTCTTTCTTTCTTTCTTTCTTTCTTTCTTTTCAGTGGCTCGCTCCCATGGAGACCTCTGGCTGAGATGAGGAGGGCGAGAAGTGCAGTTGTCCCATTTCTTTTCCTCTCTATTCCCAACTCTGCTCCCTCTCTTGCATTCTGTCATTAGTCAATGGGAGGTCACTTAATGTCCCTGGATTTTACTTTCCTCTGTAAAATGAAAGGGTTGCCTTCCAAAGTATTTCTCAAACTAAATATGGCAAAGGGCCAGTTCGTTCTTTCTTTTTTCTTTTCTTTACTTTCTTCTTTTCTTTTCTTTCTTCTTTTCTTTTCTTTTTTTCTTCTTTTCTTTTCTTTCTTCCTTTCTTTTCTTTCTTCCTTTCTTTTTTTAAAATCAGATCCTGAATTGTTTTTCTAGGACTGGTAATAGTTCTCATCTGGTTAGGAAAATGATGGCTAGCATCAAGAGTCCATCCTGTGGTCAGCAAGAGAATTATAGTGTAAGCTCCAGTAACAGCAAGGACGATTATCACGCATTTTCCTGCTTCAGATAACTGTTGTTCGGTGGAGTATTCTTACTTGCTTGGTCTTGTTGCCCAATGGCTGTTGCCATTGAGGAGGCCAAGGCTTGTGTTTGGATATTGGAACTTGTACATGAATTGAATTTCTTACCGTAATCACTCTGAGTTAATCAAAGCCACACAAAGATCGCTTGGCAGAGGGAAGGGAAAATAGAAACTTGGAGGCCTATGAGGCATGGGCTGCTTGGGCAGCACATTCTTGACTGGCTCACAGGGCAGCCCCACGGTCAGAGGCGATGCATGAAAAGCTACCTTCACCAAACAGTAAATGGGAATGCCATTATTCTTGCTACATAATAAGCTTTCCCATTATCCTGGTATTTATTAAACAGCTATTTAAATATACAAGCTTCATTAGCATGTTCGAAATGTGATTTGAATTATATAAATTTGATTTACAAACAGCCTTTCAGGAGCATGTAAAACAAGCTGTGTTTGGACACCTTACCCAGGGACTCCTGGCAGTTGTCTTTCCCATTCGATCTTCCTCTTGAGTTTAGCTGCTTGGCTACATTTGCTGTAGTAAATCTCTAGATTTCCGTGTTTTTTTTCCCTGCATATTTGGAGGAATACAGTTTCATAGTTAAATCCAGAAACTCTGCTTTGGGACAACTGCTTTTTGCTAATTTTTAAGTGAACTTTTTATTTGCGAATAATTTTAGGTTTACAGAAAAGTTGCAAAGACAGAGTTTCCAGCTACCTTGCACCCAGTTTTAACTATTGTTAACATCTTGCGTTACTGCAGTACATTTGTCAAAACTCAAACTGACATTGGTACATTACTGTTAGCTAAACTTCAGACTTTATTTGAATTTTGCCAACTGCCTTTTGAAACTGTTGGAGGTGAATTTGATTCAAGATGAAGGTCAGGCATTTAAAAGTTTTAGAAGTGGTCTGTGTTCTTTGATATATGCACAGTTCTGTCCATGTAAAGCCAGGAGCTTCTATTTTAGGTAGGATTTTGATGTATTTTGTTTTGAACATCTCTGTATGGTGCCAGTATTCGGTAGAGCTTAACTCCTCTTATCCATGTGGCCTCATTTTTATCAGTCATTTCTGTTGGTTTAACTTAGTGATAGGAAAGAAATGTTTTCTGGCTTAAGAATAACTTGAAGTCTCTCAAATATTCTCTTTCAAAGAAATAATCATTTATTTAGTAAAAATAAAAATTAAGCTCAATTTTATAAAGATGGGCTTTGCTCTCCTTTCCTTCCCTCTTCTTGTTCATTTATTAGTTTAGTCAGGTCTTTAAAATATGAACATCTGCTTTTAGAAAAGACTGATTTTGTTTTTTCTCTTTAAGTATTTACTCAAGGACCAGCTATCAAGGAGTAATAAATGAAAGTGAAAATGAAAGAGACTTGGCCCAGAATGATAAGGGATATAAATGGCCCTTGTGGGCCATAAACCAGTGTGACCAATTAGAGCTTGACCTCACTTGGCTTGTGTGATACAATCTTTGTGGGTATTTACGAGATTTGTGGCCATAGCATACAGATAATGGCCTTTCTTAGAATTGATTCCTTTCCTTCTTACCCACCCTTCAAAACTAAAGAAAAATAAACAAATAGCAAATATATATATATCAGTACCCTGCTAGTCTAAAGGTACATTCCAAGTTGAGGACAACAGGTCAAGTTTGGTTTACATTCATTTAGTATTTTTGCTGTCATCATATAATAATTGATGAAAAAGTTTAGTCTCACAAATCTTTCTGATAAAAAGTTTCGGCTATATTTTTACCAGTTGTTTTGTTGAGATCTTTTTTGTGTGTGTGAGTTTCCTGGCTTACAAGGAAGGAGGCAGCCTGGGATCACAGCTAAGCCAGTTTACATTACCATACAAAGTCAGAAGAGTTAAAATGGCAGCTCTGCTGTCCTGAGAGTGTGTGTTCTTCATTCAGCTCAGAACTGAGATTTCCATGGGATGGTCTCCTTGTTTAGGAATTCACTCTCTCTTTGGAGCTAGAGAATGAAAAGTGTTGAAGGAAATTAAAAAAATAAAAACAAATAAACAAAAAGCCCCTTAAACAGAAATGGCTGAGTGTGGAAGAAGATGGACTGGTTGGACATAGTGACAGTCCTAATTGCCTTTAATACTGCATGGCATGGAGATACTGGGCGTGGTGGTGGACACTCTGCTTTCTTCTTAGAGGAGGGGTGGGGCAGAGTCTGCGAGCCAGCATCAGATAGGCCAGAAGGGTGCTGCACAGGGTGTGAGGGTGTGAGGTGGGCAATAAGAGCCCCATAGAATGTCTTTACAGAGTGCTGGGACTTTGCAAACTCTTACACTAGACCCAGCCGGGGTGTTCAGGGAAAGGGCAGATGTTATCAGCTATTTAGATGCCAGCAGGACCCCAGATACTGAGCAAGTGCTTTCCCATCTGTCAATCATTGGCAGCCCGGCTAGTAACCGAGAAATGGAGGAAAGCTTTTTCCAAACTTCAAACACTAGATTGATCATTTTGATCCCATATTTGGAACTGAACTCAGCTTGGTTCAGTTTGGGGTTATGTTTAAAGCACAAAAACGTCACTTTTGGCTTCAAAATGAAATCTAGAGAGTGGTAGTGTTCATCCTTCTAGCACACTGATGAGCACTGCTTATGACAATCAAACTATTTTATTTCATTTTGTTTTTTCATTGTCCCTTTAAAAATTTATTCATAGGAGTGAATAATCTTCTCTGGTACCGGGAACAGTAGTGTCTGTCTCTTTGGTGCACATTAGAATCAAATGGGGATTTTTAACTATTATTTTATCATTTCATTTTTGATACACATTCCTGGGGCCCACCTCCAGCAATTCTGATTCAGTGACTCCCGAAGAGGCTTAGACTTTGGCATTTTTTGTTTTTAAGATTCCCCAGGGACTCCAGTGTGCAAATAAGGGTGAGAGTCGCTCGTCTGGATAAGAGCTCTGACCCAAGTAGGATTTTTCCGCTCTTTATTGAGTAACAGACAATCCTTTGGTCACTTTAGGTTGTAGACAAAACCTTGGTCTAGAAATAGTATGTCCTGTCTAAATTAGAAATCAAAACTCTAGACTTGCTTTAAGGGCCATTCTCCTCTCCTCTCTCAGTTCAGGCTGGCTACATGGGGTAGGGGCTGGAGCTTGCTAATGAGGTTTCAGCCTCTCTGCTGTCCGCAAAGGGGTTGGGCATGGGGGACAGATGGAAAGGAAGTGTTTTTCCTGGTGCCTTTGTCTCTTGGGACCTGGGCATGTTCAGGGCTGAACCCGTTACGGGTTCTTTGGAGATTCTGCTCTCTGCAGTCCCCTTTCTTGCAGTGCCCATGACAGGACACAACTCTACTGCAGCTGGCGGAAGCAACTCCTTCTTCAGCACCCCAGATGCAGCTTTGTGTTTTTGGGACCCCTCTGCTCCTCCAAAGGGGCCTGTTGTCAGGACCTAAGACTCTCCACACTGACTTTCTCCTGTGCTGCCTACATCTGATCCACAGGGGTAGCCCTCATGATCTCTGTCTTGCCACCTCTGGGTATACAGGTAGCACCCAAATGCCACCTGCATTGTGCCACCGCAGGTTACTTTAGCCTTCTCTGGCAGGAGTCAGGCACTTGTCTGCCAAACCTTCTGCCTGCAGGGAACAAATTCAAGTTTTCAGAGTGGTGCCATGGAAGCCCCATGGTGCGTTAGTGGCGAGGACAACACTTTTCCCCAAAGAAACTTCTAAGTCCTTCCTTGTTCTCTCCTTTCTGGGACCTCTTAAAGTCCAGTGTGAATCAGACATTTCAAAGGAC